TTCGCTTTGACTTGTAGCTTTCGAAAGGTGATTCGGGCGCTCGCATTTAGTGGTCGTGAAAAATTCGATATACTCGTTTCACTAACTATTAAAAAAGATTCTTTTGGTTTGATAGTGACTTTGAAGTGTTAGTGGCTTTTAATGGATGGCTGTCGTCCAGTTCTGGTTTGTATTCAAGGCAGACTGTCTCCTCTTCAATTGTTGACACGCTGACTATAGTGACCGTCGTTAGTTCAACTGTTCAAATGGGACACACTCACAGTAGTTGTGCGCTCGGATACACTTCAGCAATCCGGATTTTCCCATTGGGACCCGAGTTCGGACCGCTCCTAAATTTCCAACTTTGGTAACTTTTCAAGCTTTAGTACACCGTAAAACAACACAAACTGTGATCATTTAACAGAGAGTCAGACAATTATGCAAACAATATCGCTTTTTGTGCCCGAAATTGCAAACGTACGCGTACGCCAGATTTGAACTGAACGGTTTTAATTAAAATTCAACACAAAAGTTATTTGCAAAGTGATACCGAAGAGAAAAAGCTAAACACGTTATTTGCCGGCCAGCCGTGACTCCGTGTGTTAAGATTGGTGTCTAGGAGATTGAAAAAGAGGCATAAAATTATTTACTAAAAAGTACTTTCTTTTTCACATGTCTCACTGGAATTCACGATATTGTCGACATTTGTTATCTTTATTAACCTGATTCTCAGGCAGTCCAGGTCGCTCGCGGAGAGAGTGTGTGGCCTCGAGCGACCTGGACCGTCTGAGATTCAGGCTATATCTTTATCAGACTAAAGAAAATTTCGAATTCGTTGTACTTCTAAAAGGTGGCTCTGTCTAAAAAGCTAAGAAAATGTATTTCTTTTAGGTGTTTAATTAGGTTGCTTTGTACTAGTTCCTATTGAGATAATCAGACCTCCCGGCTCCACTATTTGCTGTATTTCTTGTCTCCTCTACTTATAATAGAAGTGTTTTCTATTCGGCTGAGCTAAGGGAAATAGATTAGAAAAGGAGTTTCCACAATTGACGTTTTAGTGTTTGTGTGTACAAACCGGTAACAAAGCTGATAAAATACATCGCATATACACAAAACACGAATCTGGTCAACTTTCCCATCTATACGTTGACACGTTCAGTAAATGTAAAGTTAAATTACCACCACAAAAAGATGGTTACCTGTTGTCACTGTTCACTCTGTGCATTCATTATAACTTCTGCCGGGGGTCCATTCTTGTGTTCCAACAAAGGTCCTACTCTCATTCAGGAACTGTCGCCTGCTTATCTCCGCGCAAGGGTTGGTAGTTCTGTCTCGTGGCCATGTGAGGCTGTCGGGGAAACTTTACCGAAATACCACTGATCAAAAGACTGCAAAGTAACTTTAAAGATTCATGACATGCACGATGGCTTACCAGTAGCTAACAAGTTTATAAATTACTTCACGGTCTTCTCAGATAAAAATGTGCATGCATGTTAATTAGTCGTTATCTGTTCGGGGAAACAAGAAACAAATGGAACCTATCGTCGTATTTTCAACTCTCTTCGCGGTGTTTGGACATGTGGTCAAACACAGTCTTTCTTGTTTGATATATTACTTCAATCTTTCTTGTGATGAAGCGATCATATTAAAAGCAGCATTTGCAGAAAGCCACACTGATTAAACAGAACACTTTCAAATGGTTTGTTAAGTTTTGCCCAACGTGTCTTCCAACTCCTTAACTATCATCAATGGAACAGTGCAGGACAGCGGAGACTACGCATGCGTTGCTAAGGTGTCTCCCGTATCCGTGAGTTCAAATATTGCACGACTGATATGTGTACGGTAAGTCCAAAAAAAATATATGAAAGATTTAACAAAGCTCGAGGAAAACAGTGGCAGCAGATCGTCAAAAGAAAGGACCTGATAACCTCAAAAAAAGACGAGTTGTTCTCAAAGTAAATTCTCCTGAAAAGAAACTTTGAAAATGTTTCAAGAACGGTATAGGGAATTGAAATGTTTATTTTGTCAACCCAGCAAATGCATTAGACTTTCTTTTATCTGCATGGTATGTAATCCGAATTTTTCGCTTCTTTCCGTTTTGCATCCTTTTGCGTTTTAGCTTTTTCGGGGGATCACTGCTTTTCCGGGAATAACGCTGCTTTCGTGGAAATAATGCAGCTGCCGTATATAAGTCGAGCCAGGTGAACGTGTGACAAAGGAAAGAAATATTATACGAGGATGATATTTTGGTGAGGATACCAAAATATGGACATCTTTGTTTGTCCTTTTGCACCCTGCATTTACCGATATGGAGGCCCGTTCTGGTCAAAATTGTAGTAATAAAATTGCCCCACAAGTCAGTTTTTTCAGTCACTGTTTTACTTTTTATGAGCTTGCTGTGTATTTTCATCGGCGGTACAAATTTTTTTGTTGTTGAGGTGGTTGCTTATTTTTTTAGCAGCCTGAATTATTTTAATTTAGTCTGGTTAAATTTTTTGTG